CCCCCCACCTCTCTCCCTGCCCCTCCCCCCCCCCACCCGTGAGAACCGGCCGGCGCGTGACGTCATGGCGCTCCTGGCCAGGTAGCCCCGACCGGTCTTCACTTCCAGATGCACTTTCGGTCCACCCGGGGGTCCCTGAATTGGAGGAAAGCGCGCCCCCTTTTTATTTACTTACTCAACAAGGAGCCGTGAAGCACCTCTTCTGTGTCCACACAACGAATAGTTATCAAGCGCCTACTGTGTGTCCATCAAGTTCCCACTGTGTGCCACACCCTGCCCCCAGGACTGGGCTGGTCTTTGCCTTCATAAAGCCCTGGGGACACCGGACAGCTGCCACCTCTGCATACTCCCTCCCGTCCAGGCCTTGCTGCGTGGACCGAGCTGGGGAAGAGTCCTCTATCCGTTTTGCTAATTTCCTCCGTTTTGCTTCAGCTTTAAAAAAATAATAATTATTATTTTATCTCATTTAACTTTATTTATTTTAATTTGACGAGAGAGGGAGAGAGAAAGTGAGAAAGTAAACCACTAGGTCCAGGACTTAAACCATAGTCAGCCATGTGGGAGTCCAGCACCTTAACCACCACACCACCTACTGGGCCTCCTTTTTTTTCTAAAGAGAGATCTTTGTTATAGGGCGCAAGTGCTCAAGGGAGAGGCAGAGGGAGACAGAATACACACTCTCACACACACACACTCACACACACACACACACTCTCATGGCTGCAATCCCTTCTCCTCCTTGGTCCTCTATGGGCAGGGATTTATAAGATTGTGGCCTGGCCATCCCCCTGGGGGTGATTTCTCGCTTTCTATCGCTCTGTCTCTCTCTGTTGGGGAGCACGTGCTCCCTAGGGCAAAAAACTCTCAAGAAAAAAAAAGAAAGAAAGAAAGAGAGAGAGAAAGAGAGAAAGAGAGAAAGGAAAGAAAGGAAAGAAAGAAAGAAAAGAAAAGAAAGAAAAGAAAGAAAGAAAGAAAGAAAGAAAGAAAGAAAGAAAGAAAG